GCTTCGGACCGAAAAAGAGTGAGATGGAATCCAGAAGAAATAAGGCATTAGACAATCTTTCTAAGAAATTTCAGTCATCCTCAATTCTTTAGCTAACTTTTGAGTTTGAGTTATGTTTATTTTCTTTATCAATATCTAAGAAGGATTCCTATCAATGACAACATATATAGTCATCTTTGTAAATTGAGTTGAGGAAAATAAAGAACCTCTACTTGTTTTTGTAGAAAAAAATACTCCTTGAGAGTGTTCCTCCTCCTTATATTTCTATATGTTAGTTTTGGTACTAAGAATTAAGAAAGCTGGTCAAAGAAAAGGTTGACTGAGGTCTCTATCGTATCTTAAACCGAAAAAAAGAGAAAAGATTTGAGTTCAATGGCTTCTTCTATACTCGTATTGACCGAGTAGTGGACGTGGACTAATCGCGTGCACAAACAGGGAAATTTTAGCTTTCACAGTTAGTAAAAAAGAGAAAGTAGTTCCAGACTGCAGTGCAGAACTGCATTTGCACATCTGTAAACTTTCACCAATTCGGATTGTTCATTATTACTCTTGATTTTCTCTCAATCTCTCTTGCCCATTTATATGACCAGACCCTGTCCCCTAGGCCTAGCCATACCAAATTATATAATGGAGTACACATCTCCTTGTCTATCCCTGTTGGGCGGTGAACGGTGTTCTAGTCCCGTTCTGCCCATACCCTCTTGTCAATATTAAGACAGATAATTTACGAGTACCTTAAAAAAATAATACTTTGGTAAATATTGAAAGTGTTTATATAAGTTAAATCAGCTAAAAGAGTGTTGAGTAATCATTTTTTAACGAAACATATCTACTGATTATTAAGTATCATTTTCAATATTTCTATTCAATTTACATCACTATTTATTTATAAAAATAATTTTCAACCGCACAAGTATTTTTGAACTTTGATGCTTAGAAATGGAGTAAATTGTTTCCCTTCATACAAGCTAACAACAAGCTAAATGGAGTAAATTACTTCCCTTCATACAAGCTAACAAGTAAAAAACAATAATGACGAAAAAAGATAAACAACTATATGTGAAATTTATTGCATTTGAGATAGCTATTGAGACTAGCATGTATTGGTTATTTATTTCAATTATAATACTCGACTTTGGGGGTGCGTTTGCTCTTGGCTAATTATATTCCATTGAGCTGGAAGTCGTCTTAAATCCAAAGAGCATAATACGACATGTGTTGCAAAATTTAGGCACTCAAACCATATCTTAAAAAGTAAGATGATCAATATGGCCTAATTTCCGGCTTCCGTCTGCGGAAACGGTTGCCATAGTAGCTGGATCAAAGCCGTCCCTATAGTTGCTCTCGATGAGATCAAAGTTCACGCAATTGCCGTCCTCTACTTATATTTTTTTGTTTGTCATTCGGTGTTTGGTATCAGTTTTGATATATGACTAATTCGAATTTGCACCGCCTGAGCCCATTAAAAAAAAATTGTTTCCTAACAAAAAAAAAAATATTTTCAAATTTAAACTTGAACCTCTAATTAAAAATAAAGGAATTATACCCCAATCCTTAGTGGTCGATAATGCCGTTCATCCACTTACCTCCAAAATCCTAACGTCCAATTTCTAACCCCAACAAAATCATGGCCCACACTAGATACAGCATCTATGCAGACGCAGATAGAGGGATTTACTAGTAAGTGCGGTTTACTGTTTCATCTAATCTACAGTAATTGATACTATTTCATTTTGAAAGTGTACTGCTCCCTCCATTTTAATTTACGTCATTTTTTTTAGTTCGTGTAAAAAAGAATGACCTATTTTCTTATTTAAAAATAATTTACCTTTATGCAATGATTTATAACCACATAAAATATATGTGCCTCATTTTACACTACAAGTTCAAAAGTCTTCTCTCTTTTTTTAAACTCCGTATCCTGTGAAATGAATTCACATAAATTCAAAGGTACACAGTATTTCAAATTCATTGAACTATTAAAACCTATAAGTATGCAATAAGTTGAACTTTTTTTTCAAAGTATTTTGACACCTGGAATCTATTCAATCCATGTCAGAGCTTCATTAAGGACATAGGTAAGTACACGGCGATTTACTACAAGCAACAATATAAACGGAACTAGAGTAGGACATATGATAAAATTGTGCAATTTTACATTGTCACTAGCAAATTTAGACTATTCCTAAAAAAATTGAACTATATCATTTAAATTTTTTTCACTAACATAACCTAAAGTGACCTCATAATATAGGAGACCTTTTTAAATAGGAAACTTTTTAACTATCATTTAAATTTTTACTAATATAACTAAATTAACATCACAATAATTAGATGGAATCAAATATCACAATATAAAATGAAAATAAAAATACATCTATGCGTAAAATAAATTACTGCTACAATAATAGGTGCAATTAGGGATGTACAAATGAAACCGACAAACCGCATCAACCCGATAATTCAAATCAAACCGAGAAAAAAAATCCGACTATGGTTTGGTTTGGTTTGATATTGGGAAAAAAAAAATCCGATCATATTTGGCTTAGTCTGATTTGAACTAAAAAAAATTAAACCAAAACCAAACCAACCCGACATTATATGTATAGAATGTTTTAAATATATTTAATACATAAAAATATTTATTGTAGCGTAGTTTATAAATAGTTCTTAAGTTTTTTCATAGTTTTATCTTTTAACGTATTATTTCAAACTTGGACTTATAATTTTTGGATGCTCAAATAAGTTTTATAGTCCATAAATATTAGTAACTCAAATAAATCCTAAACCAAAATCAAATCAATACTAATGCTAATAAAAAACATTCAATTCAATTGTACTATGAATGAAAATAGTGTTGGATATCTATTTTTTTAGTTTATCCATGGTTTAGATAAAATACATAACTTATTTTTCTTTTAGTGTTTAGTCATGTAAATAATCGTACTTATTAGTCGTACTTATTTTAGCAACTTATTAGTAATTTTAAATTATGTTTGTTTTTATTATGGCTTATTAATAATATTTATTTTATGCAATTTATTATCTTTATTGTTGAATATTTTAGTACAATGCCTTGACTTATCTCATATTTATGTTATTTTATTAAAAAACACCTTATATAGTTCTGTTTTACTAGGATTAAAGAAATATTTGGAACATAAATTTTATGGTTTATGCTATGAAGACTCTATGAAAAAAAATTAAAAAATATAATATTAAAAAATTTGACTTTTATTGATTTAATTTGATATTTAAATTTAATAATTCGATATAATTAATTTGATTTGATAATTAGAAAATACAAATTCGTTACGAGAGCCTAGATCCATCAACAGAGAGTAGCGGCTTGTGGGTCAACTACTAGTAAAAACCAGTGTTTTAACCATGGTAAAAGAGTGAGGTCAGGCCCAATATAACGCTGTCTCAACCCTCACTACTCTCCTTAACTCTGGCGCTCACTTCTTTCAAGTTTCCTCTTTTGAGTTTCGTATTTTCCAAAACTATTAAACAAATAAAAACTCACACTGCTCCATTCTTTTCCTGCTCCTCTGCTTCTTCTGCACCTCCTCTGTAGATGTGTCGCAGATGCACGTAAAAAGCTTGTGAGAGACACAGAGGAGAAAGCAGTAACTTCTCGTTGCGCTACAACTTTTTTCGTCGGAAATGACTGTGTTCGGACATTCAGTTGTCGGAGGTGGTTTTCTCGCCGGAAAACAGGTTTTTCCGGTGAACTACGAGGTTGAAGTTTCCCGTCTTCTTCTCGAAGCTTCGCATTCAAACGATCTGACATTGGCTCTCGAATGCATCGCCGATCCGTTCGTTGACGTAAATTTCGTCGGCGATGTGTGCTTGAAGGTGAGAAAGGCGGAAGTCGTGACACACGACGAGTTGCCGAACGAAGTTAGGATCGTATACGAGGAGTTTAAAACCGACGTTACGGCATTGTTCCTCGCCGTTCAAAATGGAAATGTTGCTCTTGTTAGAAAACTACTGGTAAAATAACCTCAGCTTTGCTCTCCATCTTTCAATTAGTAATAAATTATTGTTGTTGTTCCAGCGTTTTGCGTACTTGATTTGAATTGTTTATTATTTAAATTACTGACTATTCTTTCGTGTGATATAGCACTAAAGTCTTTTAATTATTTTTTATCCATAAACTTTATAATTATTACTTAAAAGTTATTTTGCCTCAAACCCTACCACAAATATGATATGATATTAAATTTTATGATAAAAATCCAAAAATAAATGACACATAAGCTAATATGGGTTATATCCATTTTATATCCATTTATCCTTTAATGTTATTTGATCCATAATCCAAATAACAACAACAACAACCCAGTATAATCTCACTAGTAGGGTCTGGGGAGTGTAGTGTCTACGCAGACCTTATCCCTACCATGAGTTAGAGAGTCTGTCAATAGACCCTCGGCATACTTCCCTCCAACAACTCCCACCTTGCTCTTGGGGTGACTCGAACTCACAATCTCTTGGTTGTAAGTTGATCCATAATCCAAATGAGTTTCGATAAAAAAAATATTAATTACACGTTAGTTTATAATGATTATTCTATACTACAAATTTTTGCATTTTCTGTAAATGTCATCGCACATTCATTTTTATTCTATACTAAAATAATCTATGGTAGAAAATTTTTATCACGTCAGTGAATTTAGCTGAAACTTCTCCACCTGCATTTCTGATTATCTTAAATGCAGAGCTTTGGTTATGACTTATGATATGACTAGCCATTATGGTGATCTTCTCTAATTAATGCTCCGTTAAAAAATTTAAAGACTTTATATTTTGCATCGCCTTTTATAAGTAATTTGAATTTTGAATTTTGCTGGATAAGAACTACATCTTTCCGTCCGGTCTTCTGTCGTTATCATAAAAGTAGTGATAAAGCTCGTAGTTAATATCGAGCTTTTTTTCCTTACAATTTTCGTTTATTATTTCTGCATTTGTTAACTTTTTTGTCCCCGTCTTTTTTCTTTTGTCCCTTTCGACCATATTATCGCCTGTTTTCTCTCGACATCTTTGGTTAGAAATTTTTTACCTATCAAGGAAACAAAGAAACTTAATTTTCAACTACTTGATTATGGAAAACGATGTCACCTATTTTCTCAGTACTTGATTTAACCATCGTCGCTGTAACTTGTCTTTTAAGATTCCCTACAAAGAAATTTGCTTTAATTAATTACTATTATGGGAGCGTTTGTTTGAGGTCTATTATTTGCCATATTTTTAATGTAATTTTCTTTTTGTGTACCTTTTTTTTTGCTCTCCGTGTTTATTACTTACTTACTACTCATTTATTTGCGTTTCCTCGTCTTACAATTTTTCGTCTCGCTGCTAGTGGTTTTCAGCTGTTGTTCAATTTTGGGTGATAACACTTGGGTGTTCATTTAACACTTGCTAGTGGTAAATGAGTCAATCAAGAGATTTCACTAAAATTCTTTTCAAAAGCAACATTCTGCTTTCAACTACTTAGCTCCTTTATTCATTTTTTAGCTGAAACAAGGTACTAAATCATGAAATCAGCAGAGAAATGTTGTAAAAGTGAATACAGTAAAGCTCAGTTTGAGTGCTCGGTTCCACCGTGACATTTGTACCTTGACTCACTGAGGTCCCGCAACTTATGACTTGCAATTTTCCTGTTGCAGCTTTTCCCATAACAGTTTTAATTTCTGTTTGTATCAGACTCTAATGGAATAATATAGCAAAACTAGGATTAAAAGGCATTTACTGGAATCATTTGAAAATTGAAATGCGTAGGTAACAACGAAAATCATTCATGCAGTCCTAACTGTGAAAAATCAAAACACTTGAAGCTGAATGTTTATCAAAAGAAAGTTGATAATCATGTGTGATTTTATTTTTGAAGCTGATTAGGACAGAATTAGGCCCTGTGCTTTTCCCGGTGGCTCATTTTCAGTTCACTGATATAAGAGTGCAAGCAATTAGTCCTGGAAACTGAATAACATAGTGTTTATCTTTCTTATCCCTCTTTCTTTGTGTATGGTTGTCTCCACGCACATATTTGCAAGCTGAATAAGATTCCTTGTCAACTGTGAGGTTCATCAATTTTATCCTTTGGAGTTTTTCGCTTCCTTCTTTTCCTCATCGAATCAAACTATGCGGTCTGAGTAACTTAGTCTGGCATTTTTCTAACATTGCAGAGTATCGGAGCCGATGTAAATCAAAAACTTTTCCGCGGATTCCCAACCACAGCAGCAGTGAGGGAGGGACACCAAGAGATCTTGGAGATGTTAATCAAAGCTGGGGCATCTCAGCAGGCTTGTGAGGAAGCTCTGTTGGAGGCCAGCTGTCATGGGCATGCAAGATTTGTCGAGATGCTCATGGAATCAGAAATGATTCGACCTCGGATTGCTGTACATGCTTTCTTCACTGGATGCTGCCGTGGATTTGGAGATGTTGTGGACACTCTCCTTAAGGTGGAACATTAGACTAGCTTTATGATACTATATTTGTGCAGGTTATCACTAATGATAATATGACACTAAGTGAACTGCTAACATTAAGTCAGATGTTTCCAACTCAAGTTCAAACTACAAAACATTTATGATAAGAGAAAATCTTGTCATCATTTTTGCATTGCTCTCCTTGCTGATACCCTTAAATGCTATTTGCTACAAATTAGCAAATTCAAGTGGGTTCACTGCTTTGAGCTGCTTGAGATATTTGAGAATGATATTCGTGTACACATTTTTTTTTCCTCTGATGACGGTGATGTCCAATCCAACTTGTGTGCACCTTGATCTATACATCCAGCTACCTCTTTAAGTGTTTTACCATTGTACTGTGCCTTGGTTGCTTGTTCTGTACTACTCTTGTATCTTTCTTCTTGGGAGCAACTGTGGCCACCATATGCATGTCGTAAATGTCTTGACACTATTGTTGCTTGCTTGATGCAGTGTGGAGTGAATGTCGATACTACAAATCGTGTGTTGCTCCAGTCATGCAAACCTTCTCTGCATACAAATGTTGACTGCTCGGCGCTTGTGGCTGCTGTTGTTAGTAGGCAAGTCTCTGTAGTCCGTCTACTCCTTGAGGTAATTGCCTCGAAATGGATCACTAGTTATTGGCTAAATGCTTCTCAAATGCAACGCTTGACTTCCTTAATATACTCAGCAATTAACTAGAATCTTGTATAATCCTAGTTAAAATTTGGATATGGTACTCAAGAATTGAACCTGATGCTCCAGTTAAAAAAAGAAAAGAATTGAACCTGATGCAATGTCTTTCATCCCGTAGGAAACTGATAGGGCAAGCAGATCACTATTGTCTTTGAGAACTTCACATTGAGCCATGTTTATTTTTACTATTGACTAACTTGGCCTTCCCCTTCGTTTTTGGACTCCCAAGGCTGGCGCAAAAACTGATGGCCCAGTCCATCTTGGAGCTTGGTCCTGGGATGCAGCTTCAGGTGAAGAATTTCGAGTAGGTGCTGGATTAGCAGATCCCTATGCCATTACTTGGTGTGCTGTGGAGTACTTTGAAGCTAGTGGCTCTATTCTGCAAATGCTCCTCCAGCGGCTCGCCCCCAGTACACTCTGTGGAAGATCTCTTCTCCACCATGCTATTCTTTGTGGTAATGCAGGAGCAGTTTCAGTGCTTCTGAAATGTGGTGCTCATGTAGAATCTCCAGTTAAAACCTCTCGGAATGTTGAGTTCCGCCCTATACATATGGCAGCACGACTTGGGTTCTCAAGCGTTATTAAATGTTTGATTGACTTCGGCTGTGATATAGACTCAAGAACGGACACAGGAGATACAGCTTTAATGATCTCTGCGAGATTCAAGAGGGAAGACTGCCTCAAAGTATTGACTATAGCTGGTGCTGATTTTGGTTTGGTTAATGCAGCTGGTGAATCAGCAAGCTCCATTGCTGCATCCAGTCGATGGAAGCTTGGTTTTCAAGGTGCAGTTCTGGAAGTCATTCAGAGTGAAAAGATTCCCAAGTCAAGCAACATGTCTGTCTTTTTGCCATTACTGTTTGTGGCTCAATCCAGGGACCTTTTATCCTTAAAGGCTCTGATTGCACGAGGAGATATTGATCTGGATAGCCAAGATGACCAAGGTTTCTCCGCTGTAATGATCACCGCTGCAGAGGGTCATGTAGACGGCTTCAGATTGCTTGTGCATGGCGGGGCTAATGTCAAGCTGCAGAACAAATCTGGGGAGACTGCTGTTACCCTCTGTGCACTAAATCAAAATCGTGATCGGTTTGAAAAGGTTCTGCTCGAATTTGCTCTTGAACAGGGTAGTCGAAACGCTGCAGGTTTCTATGCACTGCATTGTGCAGCTCGATGTGGCGACTTGGATGCAGTTAAACAGTTAACAACCAGGGGTTATGATGTAAACATGTCCAATGGGGACGATTACACACCACTCATGCTTGCAGCAAGGGAAGGGCATGGCCGCACATGTGAATTCTTAATCTCTTGTGGGGCACGATGCGATATCAAGAACGCATTGGGTGAAACTGCACTTTCCCTTGCTAGGAAGACACAGAAAAATGAGGCAGAGAGGGTGATACTGGATGAACTTGCTAGGAAACTGGTCTTAACCGGTGCCCAAGTGAAGAAGCACATAAAGGGAGGTAAAGGGTCTCCACATATGAAAGTTCTTAAAATGGTTGAAGCTGCTGGAATATTGCGTTGGGGAAAATCAAGTGGGCGTAATGTTGTATGCCGGGAGGCAGAAGTGGGGCCGAGTTTGAAGTTTCAGAAGATCAGGCAAAGAAAAGGTGATGCTGAGCTACCTGGAATATTTAGGGTGATCACGACCAAGAACAAGGAAGTGCACTTTGTGTGTGAGGGTGATTACGAGACAGCAGAGCTTTGGGTGAGGGGAATAAAGCTTGTGACAAGAGAAGCTATTTTTAGCAAGTAGAGATATTCCTCAGCGATAAGCAAGAGGATGTAGATGTATAGTTATTAGCTTACTACTTCATTGTCATATGCTTAAAAGAGTTATTACTCAGTGTAGAGTTTTTCTCTTTTAGTATCTGTAGTACTTCATCTTGTAGTACTTCGTCTGTAAATGCCATCTTAACGAGAAAAAGAACAGTTGAGAAGATGATAGCTTTTATTGCCGCCCAGTTTCATCATGTAGGGAGTGGGGTTTTAGTTTTCTTTCTATCAAGCTTCAGTTACTTGAGATATTGCAGATCGACATGTTCCCACAACATAATCATCTGCTTTCTTTTCAACTTATGATAACTTAATTTTCTATTTCATGTAAACCTACTTACCGTTGACGTTCCAATGAAAATTGAACCAATATGGTTGGGGCATCTAAGGAAAATTTCATAACATAATAAATATATTTTGGGAGGGTGATTTAATGGTCAATGAAGTGGGTTGAGAATTGTGAGGTATCAAGTTCAAATTTTAGGTGTGACTGGTCAATGAAGTGGGTTGAGAATCAAGAGGTCTCAAGTTCAAAACTTCAAATCCCACATGAAGCGAAAATACTAGTAGGTGATTTCATCTCATTTGCTTTTATTGCCCGGATGCCACGGTTATTTAAAAAAAAAAAATACTTTGGGATGATATGGTAACTTGAAGCATATGTTGAGTATCACTTTTGACATTTTACCTGGTCACGTGCAATGCACACGCTTTTTCATCATTAATCAAATCAGCGAACATCTTATTGCTGCTTCAAAAGATTGTGTTTGGCACTAGAGAACTTGCGGTCCAAAACCCTCCTCTCTCCGAAAATCTTGTAATACACCCGAAACCCAATTCCAAGCAAATATCTCAAAGTCCGCTTTACTACACTTTCTTGTATACTCAATGCTTCACACTGGTTTTCACAGTAACAGGATTGGCTACACTAGCAAGCAGCTGAGAAATGATATCTTTAATGCAAGTCCGAACCCCAAACCCAAAGCTTGCCTTTCTTTCAAGAACGCGACTACCCCTTTATCGGTAACGTTATCTTAGACTTATATCGCAATTTTACTAGTCTTCTAATGATTTTTCTTTGTGGGATGCTACAGCTTTGTGTATGATCCTCTAACTAGGGATGCCTCTTTCTTTCCTTGTAAACTTAAACTTGTCCCATGACTTGAGGGCAGAATGCTAGCTATTATCTGTTTATTTCCCTTGTCTGCTTTCTGCACTGATGTTTTGGTGCTGTAACCTGTTAACTAGGTTACCACTTTCCATTTGCAGACCGAACATGATAGGACATTAGCTTAGTTTCTTAGAACTAGCAGGGCTAGATATTACCAGTTTTAATTAGTATATAGTAAAGGATATTCTCCAATTGCCTTAATTTTATAATACTGCTATCTTTATGCTTGAATTATGAATTATGAGCAATTTGCTTTGGTTTAGAAGCCACTCAAATCTCTGGTGTTAAGTTTCTGTGAGAACATGAAACAAGGTGTTTGTAATGAGCATCACTCATGGATTTGAACTCTGCGGGGACACTTTCTAGGATTTGATTCCTATAAAATCGTGCAGCTGTAGACTGTAGCTAATAAAGCTTTACGGCCAATGGAGAGAAAAGTTGTTTTGTTTATTATTTTCCCTTCCTATTTTGGGAACTATGTATGCCTAACTCTTAAAAAATTGTCGAGAAAGACCTACAATCGCCTGGAATCCTACAGACCTAAATAGAGTACAATGGAAGAATTTTTTTATATGTAAGCGATACCAATTAGTTGAGATTAAGTTTTAATCAAGTTAGTATATTTTACTTTAGGTCCATGTTTGCTAAGAGTATTTTCAAGTCTTGCTAAAGATTTATGTGTCCGTAGAAAATGTAAAGAACTTCTAGTGATGGATAACCTATTTTTTTAATAATATTGTATTGAGGTGGACTTAAGATTTATGTTATGTTTATAGAAATGTAGAGAACTTCTACTGCCGGAGAAACTAATTTGTAACAGTGTTGTACTGATATGGACTTAAATGGAGAGATAAGGGACAGTGAGGATTCATACAACTGGCCCCAACTTGCTTGGGGTTGGGGCATAATTGTTCTATGCCAATTTTCTCTTACAGCTACATTCTCAGTGGTTGTGTGATGTGACAATAACACTTGTCTAGGATAAGAACTCTGAATGCATCCTGTTTTCCCCAACCATATGAAAAGAAGACGTAATATAAGCAGTATATGGTTTTACCATTACACAGGCATAAGATTTGGTTATACTTTTATATAGACATGTAACTCTTGGTTTTGTGGCATATCTTTTTCTCTTTAAGTTGGGCTTGAATAATTAGTTAAACTTTCTTCAGGATTGAACTGTCTTTTCCTCAGAAGGTTTTCTTTTGCCGAGCGAAGTATTGTAAGTTTCTAAATTTTGAATATCAATTGTGTTACCCCAAATTGACTGTTGGAACCATCATTTGGAACTCCTCCAACCAGCGCTGTTATTGGTTTGCCATAACGTTTGTACATTTCCTTTGATTGACAGCTGAATCCGAAATAGATGGTTCTTTTAACTTAAGGGTGGTGCCCTCAAACCTTGTAGCTGCAGAAAAGGAAGAAGCAAAAGCTGTCTTGACATTGTTTCTGAAGAAACACGGTTTAAGCAATGCTCTTTCAGCAAGAGTTATCAACAAATCAGAGCCTTTTATTGATCACCTCGTCTCTCGGCTGCATTCTGTTCACAAGTCTCGCTACCTCGTAGGTTCGGTTTAAATAGATTCATTCTCTTGCTCCTCCACTTTCTTCTTTGCCTGTACATCTGTGAATACGCAGAACGCGTACTGCCTACATTCACAGCTTTGTTCTCTGTTTAAGTTCATCTGTCAACTGTGAATTTCCTTTATTTTGCAGGACGAGAACTAACAACTCTTGAGATTAGGGATGCTCTCATTCCATACCTTGAGGCACTCCACGAGGAATATGGAAGTATTCTAGTGGATGTTGTGGAGAGCTTTCCGAACCCACCTGTTCTGGAAAAAATAGAAGAAACTATTGAAAAAGTACCTCTTCCTGTCACACCAGCTTCACCTCCTAGTGCTGTCCTCGACTCCAAGAAGCTGAAGGCTCTGGCACGAGTCAGTGATATTGGACCGACTGGAAAGCTTCCTCCACATATTTTATACCTTGTTGAGCTGGGCATGGATATTGAAAGGATTAGAGTAATCACACGCAAGTTTCCTGCTTTTGCCTACTATAGTCTTGAGGGAAAAATCAAACCAGTAGTTGAGTTTCTCCTTGATCTTGGAGTGCCAAGATCACAGGTTCCAACCATTCTCAGCAAAAGGCCTCAACTATGTGGAATTAGCCTCTCAGAGAATTTAATTCCAACGATGGCATTCTTGGAAGAACTGGGCGTTGATAAAGAACAGTGGGCTAAAGTAATCTACCGGTTTCCTGCACTTCTCACTTACAGCAGGCCTAAACTGAGAGCAACAGTCGACTTTCTTTATGAAATGGGTTTATCTGCTGAGAGTGTGAGCAAGGTTCTAACCAGATGTCCAAACATCATAAGTTATAGTGTGGAGGACAAACTAAGGCCTGCAACTGAGTACTTCCGTTCAATGGGGGTTGATGTTGGAGTTCTTCTCTACCGATGCCCTCAAACTTTTGGTCTTAGCATTGAGGCCAACGTTAAGCCTGTTACTGAATTCTTCAAGGATAAGGGGTTCAGTATGGCAGAAGTTGCTGCAATGATTTCAAGATACGGTGCTCTATATACTTTTAGCTTGGCTAAGTTGATCTTAAAATGGAATTTCTTTCTGACCATGGGTTATCCAAGAGCAGAATTGGTCAAGTTTCCTCAGTATTTTGGTTATAGTTTAGAAGAGAGAATCAAGCCCAGGTTCGCCATTATGACTCAGACGGGTGTAAGGTTGTTGCTGAACCAGATGTTGTCACTGTCGGAGGATGCTTTCAATAAGGCTTTGAAGAGAAAATTGAAGAAATTATTAGATAACTAGCCAATGATGGCTTGTGGAGATTTTGGCATTTAGATTTTCAAGTCCATTGAGCTAAAAGTTATGGTTTTCAGTTATTGCTAAGGTGAAGATAGCAGTGTTATGTTTATACGAAGTTGTCTTGATGGATGCTAGGGAAATTTGTTTCCTCTTCTCTTATTGAGTGTGTGGACACCTCCGGTGCTTGGTATACAAGTTGTATAGACTGATATTCGTAGACTAGCTCTTAGGCGACGTGCTTTATCTGTATTTTGTACTCTAGTATAGTTGGTATGTCCAACCAATTTGTGTTTATAGGTTAGAATATGATGCAAGTTTTGTTGACAGGATTTATTTGCAGTCATTCATGTTCTTAACTGAGTGACTGCTCTTTGGGAGATCAACACTATATGTGAGAACAATAAGGCTTTCGACAGAATCCTTTGCTAGAGCTATGTTTTCTTTTATTCCTAGACAATGTAACACCTCTTAGTCACTGTTTAGTTCAGGTAGTTATATGTACTATGTATGGAGAGATCAAGGGAAATTTGTCTTCCTGTATTATTATGTAATGAGGCCTACAACTCAATTTGACTGCTTCTTTCTATATATCATGTTTTCATGTGGAAAATAGATCGAATGTTAAATTTTAAGATTTCTTCCTTGATTTGAAATAGCCATTGTGGAGTGTGGAGCATCTGCAAAGTCTCATATATAGCATCACAAGTGTTGTGGAGAGTGGAGCATTTTCAAGTCCAAATCTTAAACTAAATAAACTTTCTAGATGTTTATTTGGCACTCACTGCTACGAAGAATGTGATGGATGGTTAAAATTATTTTACTTTTAGTTCGAACTTTTAAATTCGAATAAAAAGACTTTCAGTAGTGGGGGTGTTATCTGGTTAAAAAATTTATTCAGCATAATATGAATTAGCCAAGCAAATAGATATGGAATAACGAGTAAATCAGGAAAAAAATAATAATATATGACTCTGCTTCTATCCAAAAGAAAGTCCTAATTGCTAAAAAAATTCTTTGACTTTATTAAATCAGAAAAAGGAAAAAGAAGCATGACTATGAGCTTCTATACAAAAGAAAGTCCTAATTGCCAAAAATATTCTTTGAATTTTCACTTGATTTTTGATATCTATGTAGATTTTTTTACTTTTAGAGCTCTACCCCTATACCTTTAGTTGTGGACGATTTTCTTT